CAGGGGTATGACTTCCTCTCACATTTTGGCATTTGGTGGCACACTTTCGGCGAGAGTCGGAAATCCGGAAACAGTCAACCGTTTCAGGATAGGTGGGCGTGGCTACAACACGAGAAATATCCCAAATTTACTTGGATACGAGTAATCATTTTCGGCAAAAAAATCAATAACTGCCCATTTCAATGGGACACAGATCTAAAATAGGAAACGTGAGGGTGGGCATTGCACAGGCACTTTAAAAAACATCATTACCCGACAGCATTCCCACTCTTATACATTGTCATATCTAATTGTTATAGAAAGGTACCAAACGCCCGTGATCGCAATCACAGGGGCTTGACGATCTATTCGTTTCAATGCGTGGACGTCTATGGGGCCGATCGACTATGTCTCAGTACAGGACCTTGCCCTTGCTCAAAATAATAGAAATTATGGAATTAAAACACTTTAGTAATGTAAAGCAAGCATATGTTATTGAATTTAATCATCCCGCTTCAAAACCACGAAAATCACTAATACTTGTTTCCGGCCGATCAGCTTGCACTATATATAAGGCAAGGGAGGAAACAAAATGTGCACACATTTTTCTAGCTGCCGAAAATCATACCTCAAAATACAAAATACCTTGTCCAAACCAGTTACGAGTGCTTATAAGACACTGGGTTATCACAAAATATTGTCCGATTACATATAAATCATATATTTTTTCCAGATTTTACGCATTTATGACGAAATTTGACACCAGCCTTCAGGTTGTGTCAATCTGCGCATGCGTGCGCGCCCTCAAGCGCCAGGACTGCATTCCTTTCTTTGCTGTGGTGTATATTAATTTAATGCAAGGTTTATTGCTAGAACATAATTGTGATTGCAGTTGTCAAAAAGGACATCTAAACCCCAGGGGTAGGTGGGTTTAGTTGAGGATGGGGGTGGGGGGGGGAGGGGTGGGTTCCCCTTGGTACCCAGCCTTAAAAAAGGAGGCGTGTATTTAAGTTAAAATAGCTGCTCTTTCTATATAAGTATTGTAAAGTAATTCTACACTAAAGAATGCACCTCCTTACCCTGGGGAGCAGATCCTTTGGCAATCATAAAATTCTGATTGACCAGGGATCACATGTGGCCACAGTCTTCAACTGTTTTCTGTCTGATAGTAATTTTGGCCCCAAGGAAGCCATAGAATGCTCCATTTTAACTTAGAATTATCAAAAACTCCACAGGAGAACCCTATCTCCCCCTTGCAGTTTTTTTTGAGAAAAAAACCTGGTAAAGAGAACTTATGAGCAGATTGTGTAGCATGATGAATGACATAACAAGAGAACTCAAAAAAAATACTGACAAAGTTGCTAATTGAGAATTCTAAAAAAGGTGATTTTGATCTGTTTACGCAGATTTTTTTCTGGGAGTGTGTTGGATATTTAAACACTGTAATTTATACTGGTAAATGCTTAACAGACCCAGCCCCAAAATATTTACCTCTAATTATGTGGTGTTTTTTTTACCAGTACCTGGCTCATTTACATAAACTAAACTTTTTGATTTTCCCAAACATTCAGTGGGTTATTTGAAACAAAGGATTTATTTTATTGGACCTTATCAAAATAGCCTATCCTGGCTAAGATAACCCTTACCTTTGGTTTGTAGCATTAAATGTTGAATTTTGGATTTTATAATTCATGTCAAGTGCAAACATATTCTATTTTCATTCTTGTGCAGTTTACTTGACATACATTAGGGGTTTTCATTGCATGTGAGACAACCATATACTGAACACTATTTTCTCATCAAGGACTCGTTGCCCATGGAACGATGCCTCCGAAGAAACAAGATATTTTTGCAGGAAAATCAGAGTTCCCTCAATTAGGTAGGTGTTTCAAGTTCCTTACTATTTTGTTCGCATCATAAAAATATTAATAATATATGGATTACAACCCAAAACAATGAAAGATAGAACATGACCTCACAATATTTATATCAACTGCGGTTTCTATGCTATCTTAACATAATCCTATTTAATCCTCATTTATATTCTTTTTGGTAACAAGATTTAGTAACTATGTATATCTTAGCAACTAACAAACACCAACAAACAAATCTCTCTGTCACAGGTGTTTGTCTATTTTGTGGTTGTGATGTTGATGATGCGACGAAGTATGGTAAATTACATTATCATGAGGAAACTCGGATTACTGTTCACTATTATTGTCTGGTAAGTCACAGTTATAAATGTTCAAAGTCACTATGATAATCATAACAGTGTATGAAGGATATATGTTGAGTGCATCTTGTCTATTAGTTGTTATTATCAACTTTTGTCTGTTTCTTAATTTATGGGGGAAATTGTCAAAAACACTGAAAAGTGCAGTGAACAAATTTCCTGAGATGAAAATTTCTGCTTACGATGTACGATGTTCAAAGCTAGAAAAGTTGAAGTATGTTCCTATAAGTTTTTACATAATTTATAACTTTGGTTTCATGTGTGTGTCCTCTGTACAAACCATTCATTTATGGACAAAAAAAAACATGTTTTGGTTAAAAAAAATGCTAAAAATGTATGCAATATGACTTACACACTTTGATCAGATTTCATAGAATTCGCTACAAAGGTGCATCACTAAATCGTACAGAAGCATATTGTTTTTGTTTTTTAGTTTGTGCATGTATGTATGGGTTTTGTTATCCTTTCATTTCATTCAAACTTCACATACAGGTAATACACAATACATCAAATATGTTCATATACACAGTTCACAATCAAAGATTATTAGGGAAGTCTTTTTGGGTTCAAAATATATACACAATTTGACAATCAATATTATTGGTGTCTTTATGGGTCAGAATATGTCATTTTCGGTCAAAAGATAGGATGAAAATGTTGTTTTTGTCTGTTATTGGCAATGCATTGTCCAGTTTCATTCAAACTTCACAAATACATCACTTATGTTTTGGGTAAAAATATGATATTTTTTGGGGGAAAAGTAGGCTGAAAATGATGTTTTTACCTATTCTTGGCTATTCATTGGCATTCAGACTTCACATATAGGGATTTGTTTTTCTTAAAGTGCCTGTGAAATGGCTGCTATTTTCACGCCTAAAATTATCCATTGATACATAAATATTATTAATTTTTATGTTTCTAAGCATAAATTATTTTTTTAAGTGAAAAAATGCGTTTTAAACTCAGACTACGGCAACTTTATTTTTGTGTATTTTAAAACGAGGCTTCTCATTAGCTTCTCATTTGCATACAGAAATTCCCCTTGTGACGTCGGAAGGTGAAGTTGCTGATAGTATCAAGTTTGTTGCATGGGGTTGAGTCAGATGCGAAATATGTCTGGTCTGGTGTAGCTGGTCACCGTGGTCGTTACCGTCGCCTGTGCACGTTTGTACACTGTCGCTGGACTCTGGCACTGGACAAAATCAAATTTGACGCCTGAATCGTCTTGTTATTTAGCAGGTTACTAGGCACATCACTACACTGTTTTATTTCATCGATCGTCTGAGTGAAAAAAACACATTCAAAATTAAAATAAAAAGAGAACATTTTAACAAAGGTGTGAATTTGACATTCAACACCAATCACTGAACAATTCAGAAACATTTAGCCTGCGAAAATGAAAACAGCCTGAGGGCTGCGTAATTTCTAGTTTCTCCGACGCTTTGTTTTCATGTCATTATCCAAATTACTGCTACCTTTTACATAACACGGGTGGTCTCTATGAAGCGATAATCAGGATGGCAAAAAAAACGTGTAAATACTTACACTATGACTATACGCATTACTGCAACCGCCCACAACACAACGTTTAACCATCATAAATGTTTGTTGTGAAAACAACTTCTAAAAACTCTCTCTCAAAAATAAAACAAAATAGACAAAAAAAAAAGAAAGCCGGTCAAAAAATGTATATCATTTAAAAGTATGGCCCAGGGGTATGGCTTCCTCTCATATTTTAGCATTTGGTGGCACACTTTCGGCGAGAGTCGGGAATCCGGAAACAGTCGACAGTTTCAGGATAGGTGGGCGTGGCTACAGCACGGGGAATATCTCAAATTTACTTGGATACGAGTAATCATTTTCAGCCAAAAAATCAATAACTGCCCATTTCAGTGGGGCACAGATCTAAAATGGGAAACATGTGGTTGGGCATTGCACAGGCACTTTAATATGATGTATGTATCACATAAGTAGAGATGACCACCATCATTTTTATTTTTTTACAGTTATTTGCGAGTGGTTTAAGTCAAGGTGGTGATGACAACGATGGCATTCAAGGCTTCCTCATACCAGACATACTTAAAGAGACGAGGAGGGGATTGCGACTCAAATGTAGTCATTGTCCACATAGGGGTGCTACTATCGGCTGTGTGGTGCCCAAATGTAAAATTAAATTTCATTACATGTGTGGAGTAGCAAACCAGGCATTGTCTCAGTTCTTTGGTCAATTCAAGTGAGTGTATTATTGTATCCATTATTGTCCTTGTGAGACATTATTAATTTTCATCTCTTCTGCTTAGCTTGCTTTAATATATATCTTGTTATTTAAAAGAAAAAAGTTCAGAACGCCCCAAGTGGGTGGAGAGATCATATTTACACTATCAAAAGCACATATCCAGTAGAAGTGCACATCACCCAAAAAATACATTAAGCCTGGTGATTAAAATATGGCTTTTCTGACCATAGATACACCTCTGTCATTCACTTATAAGTACACACACTTTTAATACAGTGCACATATTCCTGAGGTACTAATATAGACATGTACTCCTATCACTGATACTACTAATATAGACATGTACTCCTATCACTGATACTACTAATTTCCAGTAGCTAAACATTTTCAATAACAACTCTTTACATCTGATAATATTCAAAACAAAAATAAAAACAACTGAACTAGAGCAAATGTTAGTTTTCCTGTGCTTTCAAATTAGATTTTTCTATCAAAGGTCAGCTTACAAATAGCATTGTTAGAGATTGACTAAACATAGGGTTTTCTAAAAGATATTATTATCATGGGGTAATAGTGTTTTTGTGTGTGAGGGCAAGAGACACTACAATTTCTTATCAAACCACAAGTGATTTTAGCTATATTTGTCCAAAAAAGAACTTGTAAATAATTCTTTCACTCACTTTATATAGACCCTATCACTCCTATTGTCATTGTCACATTTGTAATATATTTAGGCGAGGGTTCTACAAACCCGCCATACCCGTTCATACCCACCATAGACTCCGGTCAGTCAAAATGACTATTTTGAACTGTAGGCATTGATCAGCGATTCTGCCGGTGACGGAGAGATAGAATCCAGGTCAGGGGAAGCCCCATGACCTCAAGATTCTTTTACCCCTTACGTCACGAACCCACGTGACCGAGGCCACATGGCAATGCCATAGGTAGCCGTCCATCACTCTGGTTCCTTTCTCTCCGCCTCGAGGACTTAGACC